ATTTTTTTTTTTTTAATTTTTTTTTTAGCTGAGCCATCCTGCTACCTGTTGGCAGCTCAGCGGCTGCTCAGCTCGGGCTGGACTCGAACTGCTGTTGCTCAGAGCTCAAGCTCTTGAGCGAGCTCTTAACCAACTGAGCCACTCGGCCGGCCCAGTTTGGGTAAATTTATGGTCAAGACTGTCTCTGGGTCTGATGGATGTACAGTAACCTGTTCATGAAGGTAACCAGGGTCTTGTCACTAACTGGAGGTGCCATTTTTACTTCACATTGGAACAGTCTGAGGCTTGACCCCACTCTATGGGAATTTCGGTCAGAGAAGACCCACTGCAGGATGAAATCTGTTAAGACTCATGACTTTTCTTTCAATGAGTTCATCAACGGTATGTCCATTAGGACTCACTAACAGGGCAGCAGTAGCCACTTAGCAGTGAGAAAAAGTTCTATAGTTTCAGGTAAATGAGTTCTGGTAGGTTCTTATTGCCAAAGTTTCCAATCAGCTGTGAGATTGGTCACAAATGTCTATCATTCCATTAAGTTTGGAGGAGACTAGGGCTCCCAGGGAAGAATTTCATTTACGGATACCTGGATTGCTTCCAAACTTGCTTGTTTTAGCGATTCGTATTCAACTGTGACCACCTATCTGGTGGCTTGGTACTATAGCAGACGTTTATTGCAAATATCTAAAGAGGACAATCAGGTATTAAATAATATCATTCATTTATTTATTTATTTATTTATTTATTTATTTATTTATTTATTTATTTATTTATTTATTTATTTATTATCTTGTTTTATTTTTTTGGTAGTTGGTGGCTGCAGGGCCAGCAGTACATCTTTCATGGGCTAGGAAATGTCTTTTTGGTCTAAGGCCTATATAACCCTCAAGATGATCACTTGGGTAGGGCCTTGGATTTTGTATTCATTCAAGATCCATCTGTACTTAGGTGGCTTGAAATGTAACATAAGAAGTTTTCTTGATGGGCAACATATTAAAAAGTGTTATTTATATATGTCACATTAAGAAATTACTGTTTAGGGCCGGCTGAGTGGTGTGTTGGTTAAGAGCTGGCTTGGGATGCCAGAAGGCTCCGGTTCGGATCCCACATATGAGGGCCAGTGACACTGCCCTCTACAGCTAAGATGCTGAACAACAGCTCAACCTGGAGCTGGGCTG